GGGGCCCAGCGGGGCCAGAGAAGCACGGCGCGATGCTGCCGAGCTCTGCCCCGCTGCTGGAGAGCTCTGCCTGGGGACCCCCCGGAGCCAGACGCGGGGCTCAGCGCTGAGGGGCGGCCGTACCCGCTCCGGCGAGGCGTCAAACCTCCGCCGCTTTCTAATTGTGTTAGCAAAGAGGGCATAGTCTAAGATTGCACTCTATCACTGAAGCCTGGGAATGCCTAAACCACATTTCCAGCTCTTCAGAAAGAGCGAGGGAAAGCCAGGTGACTATGGGAAGGTAAGGGTAAGACTGAATTTCAGAAATTGTGTTCTTAAGGTTATAAACACGAAAGAACATGCTGAAATATGAAAATCTTCGGCTGTGGGGAAAGAGAAGGAAATACCTAGAACTGTTGCAACAATGAATGTGCTAATTTTAGAACATCTTTAAGTCATCCTCACTTTCTGGAATTAGATTGTGCAATTTTTTTCTAGCAAATAAATGAGTTTTGTTTTTAATGAAGAAATGTTAAATCTCCCTTAATATTTCACTTTGAAAGAGCTATAAAAGTGAAATGTGGAACTCATTCTTCCATGTCAATGATTAGAAGGCCAAAATACATCTGTTCCACATGAACAACTGCAGACTTTGCTTTCACAGAAGAATAGCTATATTTGTAGTTACTGAAAATGTATTCCTGTTGATTTCATTCTTGTGTATTCCAACTTGTAGAGTCAGAAAAATGTCCCAATCTTGACTAAAATCAAGGTCCAAGTATCCAGATGTTAAGGAAAAACGCTTCAATATTAAGCTGAAGCTGCATACTGAATTAACAGCGATTTTGTTCTACAAGTATCAAGGTTCACCACTAAACCGTAGCTGTAACACAGAGGACCCTCATTAGTGTTTCCGAGTAATTGCAGACATACGCTGCTTGGACCTGGGCTCTCCCTTGCAGCTGTGGAGGAGCTTTCTGGGGGCTCCCTCTGACTGGGTGCAGCTACGCACCGCTACAGCTACTGCACTATCCAGTTTATTTCAAATTAGTTTTCAGCATCTAGATTCCTGGCTAACTTATTTGCCTTCAAAATAGTCAGTATCTCTCTTAACTCCCTGAGATCTAGGTGGGATTCAAAATTATTAAGTGAATTTAAGTTTTGGGGAAA